CTTTGCTGTCCCATCACTGCCAGCCTGCGCCGCGTCGCCCTCCTGCCCCGGCCCCGCCGAGCGGCGTCGCTGGCACCGGGCTGCGTTTTGTCCAAGCTAAAGCCTCATTTCTGGCCGCGGAGAAGCGGGAGAAGCAGACGTCGCCTGCCGGGCACAGGCGCTGCCGCCGACACAGGCCCGCGTCCCTGCCCGCTGCCCGACGGGCTCCCGGGGGGGCTCTCGGTGCCGCGCTGCCACAAGGGCCTTGGGAAACCTGAGAGAGGAGCTTCTGCCAGACGAGCGGTTCGAGGCGTGATCCAGCCAAGGCGAGGCATCAACGCCGCAGGGACCCCCTGGGGTACGGACACGGGGGTCGGCTACAGCCCCACAGCAACACCCCCACGTACGTACCTCCCCGGCACGCAGGAGGGAAAACCTGTCCTGTCCCTGCCTGGCAGCTCATGGCTCTGCAATTCTGAAAAACGCTCTGGGATTTAACAGCCGTTTGAGTCAAGCTTTTGAATGTTAGGAGAAGGTTTGTAGAGACACTGTACAGAAGAATAGTTCAGGTGGGAGAAATGGAAAACCAGGAATATAACACAGGAGAGGTGAAGCCACAAGTCAGTCTCTGCCCAAAATTCACCCTGCGCCAAGCTCCTTTAACAGGTCTAATGTCATGTCCTTGTTATTCAATTGTACTGTTAAAGAAATCGTCAGAAACAACTTAGAATGTTAAACCTAGCCTGGTAAATCAGCCCTAGATAAAGTTAGCAAGTAAGTCAGTTGAATATTTTTCATTAGCGAACCTCACGGTATTTTGCTGGGGACAGAAGCATCATCAGGCACTCTCCTTCCTTTTCAGTGGCTGGGGAAGCTGAGGGGCAGTGACGGGAAATACCTTCCTCCACCTCTAACAGTTACAGCTTTGCAATTAGTGATTTGATTGCTATCAGTTAAAAATCAGTATATTGCCTGAAAGTTGACACATCTGAAATGCCCCCCAAAAGTCAGGAAGAACCTGAAAACTCCTGAAAACAGCTGCTGTCACGTTTTTGTAAAGAGAAGGGCAAGCTGCTTTTGCCTCAGCCTGAGAGTCAATGCAATTAATGTTGTGATGAACTCGAAATAGTCAAATATCACAAGGAAGTAGCAGCCGGATTTGCAATCAAAATGATCTCTCTTACTTGAGACATTTCTGCAGCGCTGCTAACAGGAAAGTTTCACGGCTCCTGGCACAAGGAAGAAAGCTTTCTACGGACTGAGAGCAAAGAACGAGGACCCTCCTTACCCCTTCCATGTGGATCCTGGGAGTTGTCGCCAGCCGGTGCTGATGAAGCTGCAACCCCCGGGGGACTCTCCTGATGGAGGCGGGGGAGGACAGGACCCCCGACCTCTGGATCGAGCCAAACCTGGTAACGTTTTGTCCACACCTGACTCCATCCAGGAGGCGAATGAGGAGCAGGTTGGAGGGCAGCTGCTCGATGCTGCAGAGGACGAGGGTCCTGCACTCGGGGCACCTGAGCTCCTTCTGGGATTTCAGGATCCTCTGCAGACAGGGCTTGCAGAAGGTGTGCTGGCAAGGGAGCACCTTCGCTGTGGCGTCGAGCTTTTCAAAGCACACCGGGCACTCCAAGAGGTCAAGGAGAGCCAAGTCATCCATCTTCAGTGCAGAGCTCCGTCAGGAGCAGAGCCGGGGCCGTCCGCACGCCACATCCACCGCAGCGGGCAGAGACGCCTCCCTGCGCCCGTGGGAACGCGCCAGAATCCCGGGCGCAGACAGCTACCCTGCACGGAGAGAGGGAGGAGGGAAGAGAGCAGCACTCGACTGCTGGAGTATGTAATACATCCCACCTACATTGCAAAGCAGTGCCTCACCAGCCAATTTGCAAATGTATACTTTGCGCTCACGTCCAAGCTGGAAGTGAGTCACGGGTGACTCAGTACGCGCGAGGGGACGGCGCTGGGGCAGAGCCCCGGGTCCTGCTCGCGGGGCAGATGGACCCGCCGCCGGCCGGGGCAGCGTGGCCTGCGGCCGCTTCTTGACGGCGAGAGCGTGAGAGCCCGCGCAGGGTTACCTGTAACGCTCCCCGCTCCGCGGCTCGTAGCTCACAGGACAGTGAAATATTTACCAGCCCAGGAGACGAGAGTCCCTGATAAACATCAGACGGGACCTGTTTGTGCTCGGCCGGCTGAAAGCAGCCGCTCGCTGCACACATCCCTCGCACACCTACACGCCGCCTCGTTTTTCAGCTCCGTCCCAATTAAGCTCATTCTCTACCCATTTTGACAGCAGCTCTATAAAAAGTCCTTCGAACACAAACACTCTGGAGGTACCTGGCAGAGACGCGAGGCACTCCGCAGTGCCATCCTCGCCCGGTTTGGCTGCCTCAGCTCTCTGAAGCAACCCAAGACGATTATTCCTCCCACAGCCTGAAGTCACTCAACCTGTTCAGCTCCCCCGGTGCTGCGCGGTGCCTGGGACCGGAGCGCACGCCGCGGTCAAGTCCGGGCTT